TCTGCTTCGAGCATCTGCTGGCCGGGCGCAGCATAGTAACTGACATTTTCAACCGCTATCTGGCGGCCTAGAATATCTTGTGTTTGTCTTATCCGACTCGCAACGTAGCTGGCTGCCTCAGTAGTAAAGGGTATCGGCATCAGATCATACAAATGACCATGTTCGTCGCTACAGAAACTCAGATGCTCTGAATAGGCTTTAATGTTAAAGACGTCATTGAATTCCCGCACAGCTCTCAGGAATTCCACGTCTAACGGGGCAGGCCCTCCCAACGATAAGGATAAGCCATGGCAGGCAAAATCGAACCTCTCAGTGAGGTTATGGAATTGGCGGCCATAACGGCCGCCAACACCGATCCAGTTTTCCGGAGCCACTTCAAAAAAATCAACATCATGGGTTTCGAGATTATCCAGCATGGGTAACATGCCCCGCCTTAATCCCAAACCAGCACCATCAATTTTTATGGCTCCAGTTTCTGGCATTGTTACTAACGCGGGTTAGGCTGCGCCTCCGCACTTACCTTCACCGCATTTGCCTTCGCCATCTTTATCTTCGGCTTCACCGCACTTGCCTTCGCCACATTTGCCTTCGCCATCTTTATCTTCGGCTTCGCCACACTTACCTTCGCCGCACTTGCCTTCGCCTTCTTTCTCGTCAGCTTCGCCACACTTGCCTTCACCGCATTTGCCTTCGCCGCATTTGCCTTCTGCCTGCGCAAGCAGGTCGTAGCCACGTTCCATATCCTGGGCGACAAACAAGTTGTCATCGGCTTGTGCAACGCTTGCGGTTGCCAAAGAGGCTACGAAGGCTGTGCCGACGGCCGCTGCAATAGGTTTCATTTTCTGCTTCAACATTGAGTTCATCTCCAATAGATTTGATTCTGTGGGCGGCCTCGCGGACCTGCCCCTTGTTTGTCAATCCAAACGCTCTTTATTTAGCGCTCCGGGTCTATGACCCAACAGACCAACAAAAGGTTCCGTCAGGTCGAATTTGATATTAACGCAATGACCTGGTTAAGCCAGCCCAACGCGCTGCTCTTCAGCCCGCAACGTCGCATCGACACGCTTGAGAGAGACCTTCCAGCGTTCACCCAGAAAACTGTTATTCAATGGGTGATCCAACACTTTCTGCCTGCTTACGGCTTCCGCAAATAACTGCAGACGCAACTCCTCAAGATAGAACTTCAAAGCCTCCGAGCGCTCGGGCATGGCCAATTCTGCCTTTTGCAAGACGTCAAAACGTTGCAGAAGCGGCTGTATCTCGTTGATAAGTTTAAGGTCTTTCGGGACGTGTCCTGGCAGAGTTTCAAGCCTTCGCGAGATGCCGGAAAGGTACCTGGGTAGCAGTTGCAGATAATCATACGGGGTAACGGCCAGAACATTACGGGGCACCAGCGTTGCTAACTGTGTCTGGATATCCGCCACACTGACCGCGTACGCTTTTGAGCTCAGCCGCTCAAGATTGCGGCTGATTTCGAAGCGCTGCGCCAAAATACCCGCAAATTGTCCGACAACTTTATCAAACATATCCCCCAACCGACCTTTGTTAGTGGCCAGGATTTCTGTGAATTCTGTGTCGCTGGTCGGCAGTGGACGACCTTCAAAAAAGCAGTACCAGAGCGTGTTGAGCAGCAATTCGTCTTTCAGCTCCTGAGCGTTGCCCAACGGGGCAAAATGCAGGCCCAACTGTTTGTGTTTGTCCAACTCACGCCGAAAGTAGGTGCCAACCTTACCCAACTGAGACAAGGCCAGGCGACTCAAGCCCCGCCGATGCGCGCGATCACGGTCCTGCTCATTATCAAACAGCAGCAGATCAACGCTATCGCCTCGATCGATGAGCCCGGGATATTTGATAACCGGCGCACTATGCCGACCGATGATTTTATGCTCAGCCAGGTATCCATCCGGTAGTTTGCTGAGATTCTGCAGTTCTGATGGCACCGTATCAGAAGTGTTTGGCGATGCTCCTGTCGCACTGAACTTTTCCTTAAGTTCACGTACATCACGGCCCTGCCCCAACAGCTTACCGCTCTCATCCAGGACTCGGACATTAACCAGCAGGTGAGTGTCAACCCGTTCGCGATGCCAGTCGGCTTCTCCCACTTCCAGCCTGAATCTGTCTTTCAACAATTTTGCCAACGCCGCAAGCAATCGACCTTTGCGAAAATGCTCCGGCTCAACTAACCATCGGCTCAATTCCTCTACCGTATCGGGCAAAGGCACCAGGTTTCGACGCTTGTTTTTGGGCAAACTGCGTAACCACTGGTCGACAACGTTAGGCAACAAACCGGGAACCGACCACTCAAAGGGTTCAGCGCCTATACCGGCGAGCAGTCCAACGGGTACATCTACATTGACACCGTCATCAATTTCTCCTGGTGCAAATTTGTATTTCACAGGAAAACCGAAAGAATTAACGCGAATCTCATTGGGAAACAGCTCTGCCGTCAGGCCAACATCCTGATGCTGAAGCAGGTCTTCTACACTCAGCATCAGATTCTCATGATTTTCGCCAGCACTTCGCTTTAACCATCGATTCAGATCAGTAAGCGACGAAATTGTCTCTGGCAGACGCTCTGCGTAAAAAGCAAAAATTTCATCTTCACTCACCAAAAGGTCTCTGCGGCGCCCTTTCGCTTCCAGCTCTTCTATCTGAGCGACTTCGCGAAGGTTATGCACAAGGAAATCCGGCTGACGCTTCACACGACCCTGCACCAGGCCTTCGCGTATAAACAGGTCACGGGCATGTACCGAATCTATCGGCGCATACCGAACCTCTTTACGCTCCGCCAGCAGCAAACCGTAAAGACTGACCCGCTTATAAGCCATGGCCTCGCCACGACTGACACTCCAGAAAGGTTCGCTGTATTGGATCTTCAGCAGGTGCTCACCCTGACGCTCTATCCAGGCGGGTTCCACCGCGGCTACCTGACGGGCATAGATACGGGAGGTTTCTGTAATCTCCCCGGCTACAATCCATTTTGGCGTTCGTTTTGCCAAAGCTGACCCCGGGAAGATACGTAACTTCAGATTACGCGCGCCGAGATAAACACCTCGCTCGTCGTGCAGGCCGATCAGGCTCAGGCTGCCTGCCAGAATTGCTTCGTGTACAGCCTGATATTGTGCAGGCGTCGAATTTTCAGACAAACCAATATCGCGAGCACTCAGGCGCAGCTGGCGATGCAGTTCCCGCCATTCGCGCACCCGTGCCACATTCAGAAATTGTTTGCGCAACAACTTTTCAAAGCGCCCCCGTGTGAGTTGTTGACGCTGCTCTTCCAACCACTGCCACATTAGAACCAGAGACATGAAATCACTGCGCTCGTCAGCAAAGGCAGCGTGCGCCTGATCCGCCGCTTGAGCTTTATTCAGCGGTCGTTCACGCGGATCTTGTGCTGCAAGAGCAGACACAATGGTTAACACTTCCGTCAATGCTCCCTGCTGGCCTGCAGCCAGTAGCATTCGAGCCAATCTCGGATCCAGCGGCATTCTTGCCATTTGCTGGCCAAGTGGGGTCAGTTTGCCGGACTCAAGTGCCTGCAACTCTTCTAACAGGCGCATTGCATCTTTTATCGCGCGACCATCAGGCAAGTCGATAAATGGAAACTTACTGATATCACCGAGCTTGAAAGCCAGCATCTGCAGAACAACGGACGCCAGGTTCACCCGATGTATTTCAGCATCACTGAATTCAGGGCGAGAGAGGAAATCCTGCTCCGCATAAAGACGATAGCAAACCCCCGGTGCAATTCGCCCACAACGCCCTTTGCGTTGATCTGCACTGGCTTGGGATATCGGTTCAACAGGTAGACGCTGCAGTTTGGATCGATAGCTGTAGCGATTGATACGGGCAAACCCGGGGTCGATGACATAACCTATATTTGGTACGGTCAGGGAAGTCTCCGCGACGTTTGTGGACAGGACCACCCGCCGTTTGTGGCCGCCCGGCTCAAATATTTTTTTCTGCTCGGCAAAAGATAGGCGTGCGTACAGAGGCAACACTTCTAACTGATCTGCGAACTTTTGCCGCAATAGTTTTGCCGCCTCAAATATTTCTCGCTCGCCGGCGAAAAAAACCAGTACATCACGTGCCTGGGATGATCCATGCTGTTGGATATCAAGCAATGCCTGCACAATCGATTCGTTGGTGTCCTGGGTTTCCGGTTCGCCCTCGAGGTAGCGCACTTCTACTGGAAAAGTTCGGCCACTGATCGACACCACCGGGGCACCATTAAAAAATTCGGAGAATCGCTCAACATCGATGGTTGCGCTGGTAACAATAACCTTCAGATCTTTGCGTTTTGCCAACAGACGCTTCAAATAGCCCAATAGAAAGTCTATGTTCAGACTGCGCTCGTGGGCCTCATCAATAATCACCACATCGTAAGCATCTAGAAAACGATCGCTGCGGATTTCCGTCAACAGCAAGCCATCTGTCATGACCTTCAACAGGGTCTGCTCACTGGTCTGGTCTGCAAACCTGACCGCATAACCCACCTGGTTACCCAGTTCAGCCTTAACTTCTTCAGCGATTCGTTTGGCTACGGTGCGTGCAGCCAAGCGCCTGGGTTGAGTATGGGCGATCATGCCACCTACGCCGAAACCCAACTGCATACACAGCTTCGGTAATTGCGTGGTTTTCCCTGAACCTGTTTCCCCCGCGACGACCACCACCTGGTGATCTTTTAGCAGATTTAACAATTCATCAACATGCGCGGCCATCGGCAGATTATCGGCAACGGTGAGGTCCAGACTGGCATGGGCTTCATAACGTTTGGTCCGGGCGGCCTCGGAACGCGCAACAGCCGCCAAGCGTCGATCGGCGTCCTGTTCACGCCGCAGGGCAAAGTAATCCCGCCGCATGACCCGAGCGCGCGGCACATCATCAGCGAGGGGATACGACCTGATCGAACCAGAAGTTTTTTTCCGTCGCGAGGACATGGTGCTGCGCGAGCTATAACCTTCAGTAGAGGCAGCTGAACTCAGCTGCCGATTGGGTGCCTACTTAGACAGTTCGCTCATACCCTCTTCGAGCCCACGAACCGTCAAAGGGAACATTTTTCCGTCGACCAGGTTCTGGGTCATGGTCACAGAGGAGGAGTACTCCCAGGTTTCCTGTGGTGTAGGATTCAACCAGATGAGCTTGTCATAGATGTTGCCCAGGCGCTCCATCCATGCGGCGCCAGGTTCTTCATTCCAATGCTCAACGCTACCGCCTGCATGGGTAATTTCATACGGGGCCATAGTGGCGTCACCTACAAAAACCACCTTGTAGTCGTGCGAATACTTGTTAAGCACTTCCCATGTGGGAATGCGCTCACTCATGCGACGACGGTTATCTTTCCATACCGATTCATAAATAAAATTATGAAAGTAGAAACTTTCGATGTGCTTGAACTCAGTTCTCGTTGCCGAAAAAAGTTCTTCACAGATTTTAACGTGGGCATCCATTGAACCGCCGATATCCAGAAACAGCAGTACTTTTACTGTGTTCTTACGCAACGGCTGCATCTTGATGTCCAACATGCCACCGTTATGAGCGGTAGATTTAATGGTGCCGGACATGTCCAGTTCTTCGTCGGTGCCTGAGCGGGCAAATTTTCGCAACCGCCGTAAAGCCATTTTGATGTTACGTGTGCCCAGTTCTACGGAGTCATCCAGATTTTTGTACTGGCGATCGTCCCAGACTTTCTTAGCTTTCTTCTTTTTGCCTCTGCCTTTGCCACCAGGGCCGTTCTTACCCTCTTTGTCGGCATCACCCTCTTCACCTTCTTCGCCGTCTTTGCCTTGTTGAGCTTCCTTCTCCGCGGCTTCCTTAGCTTCTTTGAAAGCCTCGATCAATTTCTCCAGGCCACCGAGCGACTCAATCTGCTCAAGCTCTTCCTTGGTTAAAGACTGTTCGAATTCGCGTCGCAGCCATTCGTCTGGAATCAGCGACTCAAGCAATCCATGCAGATCTTCCAAGCCCTTGAAATAGGCGCTGAAGGCTCGGTCAAACTTGTCGTAGTTCTTCTCGTCTTTGACTAATGCGGTGCGACTAAGCAGATAAAAGTCGTCAACGTTGGCATACACCAACTGATGTTTCAGACCATTCAACAAGTCCAACAGTTCGCGGATGGTGACCGGAACTTTGTACTTCCTTAAGGTTAAGAAGAAATTGATGAGCACAATTTATCCTCGGCTGTCTCTTCGATTCATGAATGCCAGACGTTCCAGGAGATGAACATCCTGTTCGTTTTTAACCAGCGCGCCGTATAAAGGTGGAATCGCCTTGCTGGCATCGCGGTTGGTCAGAATTTCATCAGGAATATCGTCAGCCATGAGCAACTTCAGCCAGTCGATAAGTTCGGAGGTTGAAGGTTTTTTCTTCAGTCCCGGCACTTTGCGCACATCGAAGAAGATCTCCATGGCTTCTTTCACCAGATCGCCTTTCAGCGCAGGAAAGTGCACATCAACAATCTGCTGCATGGTTTCGCGATCGGGGAAGTTGATATAGTGGAAAAAGCAGCGACGTAAAAACGCATCTGGCAGCTCTTTCTCATTGTTCGAGGTAATGATGACGATGGGTCGCTGCTTGGCTTTGATTGTCTCACCTAATTCGTAGACAAAAAATTCCATACGATCAATTTCCTGCAGCAGGTCGTTCGGGAATTCGATATCAGCCTTGTCGATTTCGTCAATCAGAAGGACGACACGTTCTTCCGCTTCAAACGCTTCCCACAATTTACCTTTCTTGATGTAGTTACGGATGTCTTTAACACGCTCGTCACCCAGCTGTGAGTCGCGCAGGCGTGACACCGCGTCGTATTCGTAGAGGCCGTTGATCGCCTTGGTCGACGACTTGATATGCCATTCTATGAGGGGCATTTTCAGCGACTCTGCAACCTGCTCCGCTAACATGGTTTTCCCGGTGCCGGGTTCGCCCTTAATCAGAAGAGGCCGCTCAAGCTTAACAGCGGCATCAACAGCCATGCTCAATTCGTCAGTGGAGATATACTCGTCGGTGCTTTCAAAGATCATTTATTAGTTTCCGCTCGATTAAATTGATCAATTTATGCTGGCAGAACCAGAGCAGTCATTGAGCACTGCACACATAAAGAGAATACAAAGCCAGCTACTTTAAAGACGCCTCTTAGGGCGCGCAAGTGTTTGCGCAAGACTTAACGTTCAGTCGATGGCCAGCTCGAGCGGTTTGGGTTTGTTCAGCCACCAGATGCCGCCGGCCAAAACAAAGTTCAACAGGCTGATCAAGGCCACAAACCACAGTGGGATAAGGGGTAGTTCAGGGTCAGTCTGAGCAGTTGGCTCTAATTCCGCAGCCGGGACACTGACTTGCGCGGCGACCACGGCTGAAGCCTCCGATACAGGGGCTTCAACAGGTGACAATGGGGGATCAATTGGCAATTCAATCATTCTGCCCTGGGCATCGTAACGCAACCGCAGCCGTTCGCCAGGTATCAGCGGTAAACTGATGGCATGTGGTTTGGTTTTGATAAATAGACCGCTGCCATCGAGGTAATTACCCGCTGCGGAAAATGACACCTCAACAATACCGTCGTTCTGATCCAAGGGAATCCGCCAGACGCCCGCAGGAAGGGCCTGACCGGGTATAAGCGAGGCAATTTGGGGCGGTTTACGCACCATCCCTGTGGCTTTCAGCGTTGCGTAATCTACTTTCGGGTGGGAAAACTGAAACCAGGCAATCGGCTGACCTTTTTCATCAGCAAGGATATCAACCAACATCGGGTTCGCCACTGTAAAGGGCGTAAAAAACTGTCGTTTGAAGGTTGGCGCAACGATTTCAACCTCGAGCTCGTGAAAGCCATCATCTAGCGTCACAAAATGCGCGATGTATTCTGACTCAACCCGCTCAACAGGCAATGGACTTCGCTCAGTTCCCGAATGCACCCAGGCGCTTACTTCCAGCAGATCCAAAAAACTCGGCAGCGATATACGCTCCCCAGCATCAAACAGGGTGATAGTTGCGCGACTTTCGTCAGTGGGCACAACCGTTGCGCCGACGCCATCAATCCGCACATCAATCTCGCCAAATACAGCCAGTTTATCCGGGGTTTTGCCCTGCAATTTCCACCAACCCGGCGCCGGATCTTCGATTGTCAGCATTTCGAAGCCCTGATCGATCAACCAGCGACCACCATTGAACGCAGTCTTTCGGCTATAAGTCTGACCATCTGGTAGCTGTATGCTCGGATCCGCTGACAATTCCGGTTCACCAAACCAGGTTACCGTGAGCCTCGTAGCGCCCGGCGCCACCTGAAATCGTCCGCCTTCATCGGCCTGTACCAGCGGTTGTGGCTCGACATGGGACAAGACATCAACCAGTGCATCACGCAGCGTGGAGGCGCTCCCAGCCACGACGTGCAGCCCACCGGTAGATTCAGAAAGCTGCCGCAGCAGCAGATGGTCACTGAGTTCAGGCGGCCCGATGGCTATGGTATGTATTTTCCGATGTTGCGCCTGCTGTTGAGGCAACCACTGCGTCAAGAGACGCTGGCGGGCTTGGGTATCGGCTGCTTCTCCCGAACCGCTGTTAAGCAAACCGCTGGCCATAAGGATCATGTGTGCAGGCTGACTGTTGTCATGTCGAATGGGTAATTTTGTAGCTGCAAGCAGCGCCTCTTCAAGCCTTGCCCGACCACCTTCAGGTTGCAGGCTCGCGGCATGGATACTGGCCACCTGCTTCCACAATCCATCACTGATCTCGAGTTTGGCCACTTGCCGAACATACCGCGCGTAACTCCAGACACCGGCGTAAGCGTCGTCTGGAAGGTTACGGATAAAATACTCCAGCGCTGTGCGCCGGGCATTGGAGCGGTCTGCGTCATGGGTTGCCTGACTGACATCAACCACCAAGCGCAGGTCAACGGGTGCCGCATGGGCAACTGTGCCAAAAGCCAGCAACCACAGGCTGATATAAAATGTGAAGACGTTCAGATGTCGCACGGACCTAACTGCGCTGTTTTATCTAATAAAGTCTAGCAGCGTCAGGTAGTTTTGCCGGATTCAGCCTGGATCTGATTCTGACCCATCAGGCTGCGGGTCTGCATCGCCAGGCGCAAATCGCCGGAACAGATAATGCGCTAAAAAAGAAAGGCTCAGCGCTATCAGTAAACCGACCAGCAGATTACGTATACTGCCTTGAGGGTGCCCTTCGGTTTGAAAAAATGTCTCAAATATCAATACGATAAAGGCAGGAGCTAACTCCGATTCATAGTTCGGCACCGGCGCGGGCACTAAAAAAAACGCAACTAGAAGCGCCACGATCGACGTGCGCATAAGACCACTGACCTGATGGCGGGAGAAAGTCACCCACATGGCTCCTGCACCCAGAATCGTTGCGGCTCCGATAATCGTCCAGGCTATGGCTTGCCCATTCATCTCGCGCTCCTGTTATCGCTCAACCCAGGTCACAATCATATCTTCGTGTTCGTCGACATGGACATTAGATTCTGGCACTACACGACCGTGTACCGAAATTCCTGCTTCGACAACCGTTTCCGCAGACCCAGACACCAGGGGGTGCCACCAGGCTAAAGGCCGCCCTTCAGCCAGCGTCCGATAGGCACAACTCTTAGGCAGCCAGTGAAACTCCGAGGCTCTCTCTGGCGTCAGGACAACACAATCCGGCACCAGCTGATGACGCTGGGGATAGCGTGTACATCGGCACGTTTCCTCGTCCAATAAATCACAGACAAGTGCGGTATAGAACACCTCATCGGTGTCTTCATCCTGCAGTTTAATCATGCAGCAACGTGCACATCCATCGCACAACGATTCCCACTGCGCATCCGTCATGTCAGCCAGCTTGGTATTGCGCCAGAACGGCTCTGTTTCAGTCATTGGCAGGTTGCAGAGGTGGCGGTGGCAGTTGCAGGAAGAATCCCTGATTGCGCAGGGCCGCCAGCACGGTTTTTGCCTCAACCTGAGCCAACTTCTTCTTTTCGTGGAGTTCAAAGGTCAGAAACAAGACTGCATCACCAAACTGCTCAATCAGCGCTTCCGGCAGGCTTTCATAATCCTGATCAGATCGCAGATAGACATATGTCTGAGCCTTTTTAGGACTTCGATAAACGCTGACCTCCATCCGCACAGAGGTGCCCTGTGAAAGCGACGCCTGCTGGTCAGTCAAGATCTAACGCCTTGTTATCCGCCTGCAGGCGGTGCAGAAACTTATCCGCCAGCAGCTCACCGCGCCATGCATGATAGGGCTCTGACAATTCCTGATGTTTCAGATAGTGACGCAGACAGTTTTCTATATCACGTTTGCGTGCAAGTAATTCCGGCGCCAGCGCCATATCTTCGACGACGTCCAGCGCGGTGGCTCTCAGTTTCTTGAGCTGTGCATTTTGTGCAGTGTTCAGTGGCCTGGGCAATGCAGCGGGCAGTTCTGCGTCTTTTGCCATTGTATGGTGTGCAATCAACTGTTCCGCATAACGATTAGCAATCCCTCGCGGCAGCGCATCGAAAACATGTTTTCTGGTCAACGCCTCGATCTGCGCAAAGCTCAACAGATGCTCGTCCCATACCACCCGATTGCGAGGCACGTTTTCCTGCCGAGCGGTTCGCTCTCGCCAGCCACAGAGCATTTTCAAAGTTGCCAACTGCGGGCCCGACAGCTGCCAGGCTTTTTTAACGTTGCGAAAATAATCATCCGGCGCAACAGGGTCGTAGCTGCCCCGCTCCTGCATATCCTGCTGGTACCAATGCACGCGATTGTGCTGCTCCAGGGCATCCTTCAGCTGTTCGTAGACCTCGCCTAGATAAAGGACGTCATCGATGGCGTATTTAATCTGATCGTCGCTGAGGGGACGCCGTAGCCAGTTCGAGCGGGTTTGCTGTTTCTCCAGGGAAACGCCAAGAATCCGTTCTACCAGGGCGGCATAGCTTAAAGAATAATCTGTTGACACAAACGCATTGGCCAGCTGCGTGTCAAACACATTCGCTGGCATCAAACCCAGGTGATGATGCAACAGTTCCAGATCTTCCTGGCAGGCATGCATCACAATGACCGACTCGGGATCAACCAGATAGTCAGCCATCGGGGTCCAGTCAGTGATCTCCAACGGATCTATTAAGTAGATTTTTCCGGCACTGGCAACCTGATACAAACCAGGTACCGGATAGTACGTGTCGGTACGAATGAATTCCGTATCAAAGGCTATATGATCACCCCAGGCTGCCACTGCCTGGGATAGATGCTGATCGTTGGATATCCAATCAAACAATGGTTCGTCGCCCCTGTAGTGCATGGGTCAGCGTGCCGCCATCGGTGTACTCAATTTCGCCACCCAATGGAACACCATGTGCGATTCTGGATATATTCGGCACTTTGTCGCCAACACGTTGAGCGATATAGTGGGCCGTGGCTTCGCCTTCCACTGTTGGATTGGTCGCCAGAATAAGCTCTCCGGGCGATAACTGATCGATCCGCTGAAGCAATTGATCGATACCCAGCTGGCCTGGGCCAACACCGTCTAAGGGTGAAAGCCGCCCATTCAAAACGAAATAAAAACCACGGAATCCACCGGCCTGCTCTATCGCCAGCACATCCGCGGGTGACTCGATAACACAAAGTAAACCTGGGTCGCGTTTTGCGTCTTTGCACAGACCGCAGATGTCCTGATCGGTCAGGTTTCGACACAAATTACACTGTCGCACGTCCCGCATCGCCACATGCATTGCATGGGCCAACGATTCGCCACCTTCACGCTCGCGCAGAAGTAGGTGCAGAGCCATACGCTGTGCACTTTTCGGGCCCACGCCCGGCAGCACCTGCAGCGCAGAAATTAAGTTATCAATGACTGACATCAGCTGGGGAAGTTACCAAAAGGCAGGTTAATACCTCCGGTGAGTTCCGACATCTGCTCCGCCTGAGTTTTTTCCACACGGCGCACTGTGTCGTTACAGGCTGCAGCTAACAGATCCTCCAGCACAGCTTTTTCTTCGTTGAGCAGTGATGGGTCGATTTCTACCCGCTTGACTTCGTAGCGACAATTCATGGTCACCTTAACCATGCCTGCACCACTTTCGCCGTGCACCTCGATGGTTGCCATTTTCGCCTGGACATCCTGCATCTTACTCTGCATTTCCTGGGCTTGTTTCATCAAATCGCCGATGCCTTTCATTCTTACTCCTTCCTCTAGAACTAAATGGGCCGTATCTGATCAACCCGGCCATCAAATTCTGCCAACAGATTCTGAACATTGGCATCCTGTTTGATCACAGCTTCCGCGTGCACCTGTTTTTCGTCCGCAATCCGAATGCGCCGCTGAGCAGGTGTTTCCTGCCGCACTGGTCCCGGGATAATGGATAAAGTGACCGGTTGGCCCAGGGTATGGGCCAGCGCTCGCCCCAGGCTTTCTGTCTGACCCGGATTAAGCAACGTGTCGTGCCCTTCATCCAGAATCAGCTCAACCTGCGGCAGAGCAACACTATGTACCACAGTATGTTCTGCAATCATGCGGGTCACACCGCTGATGGCAAGCTGTTCAACTAATTCATACCAGGGCACTGAGAACAACATATCTGACTGGGCCGGCGGCTGAGATTCGGGGACTGATTGGGCGCTCTCTCCTGCATCGTCTTGCCGCTTGACTTGTTGCGCGCTGACCTGCGCCTCTGTTTCAACGTCTGGGTCTGATCGCTGCTCCTGCGAGCGGTCGCGTGGCGGCACAGTTGAGGCTGGATCCGGCGCAAAGGCCAGCATCCGCAACAGAGTCATTTCAAAACCGCTGCGTTCATCCGGAGCGTAGACCAGATCGCGAGAACCCAACAACGCAATCTGGTAGTAAAGCTGCAACTCTTCAGGTGTAAACGGTGCTGAGGCTGCTGGACCGTCTATCGCGCCACGCACGGCCAGATCATGCAAAGCTTCTAGTAAACCTTTCAAAACATCGGAAAAATCAGTGCTCCTCTCCGCGAGGTCAGCACTCAGCGCCATGACCTCTGCTGGCGCACCGCCAGCAATTGCTGCTAGCAGCTTTGTCACGGCGTCGCGCCCTACCACGCCCAACATGTCGCTTACATCGCGGGATTTCAGTGAGCCCTGACCGTAAGCGATGGCTTGATCGGTTAAGCTAAGCGCATCTCGCATACTGCCCGCAGCGCTGCGGGCAATAATATCTAAAGCTTCTTTTTCAAAGCTCACCGCTTCAGACGCAAGCACGCCTTGCAGATAGTCGGCTATGGCGTCTCTAGACAGATTTTTCAATTGAAATTGAAGACAGCGAGAAAGCACCGTTACCGGCACCTTCTTGGGATCGGTTGTAGCGAGCAGAAATTTGACGTGCTCAGGCGGCTCTTCGAGTGTCTTCAGCAGCGCATTAAACGACGCGGTTGAGAGCATATGAACTTCGTCTATGAGATAAACTTTGTATCGCCCTCGGGTAGGTAAATACTGGGCGTTGTCTAGCAACTCCCGCGTATCATCCACGCCAGTGCGCGAAGCCGCATCCACCTCGATTAAATCGACAAATCTATTCTGCTTTACTTCCAGGCAGATTGAACACTCTCCGCACGGGTCCGCTGACACACCTTTTTCACAATTCAGTGCCTTTGCAACAATGCGCGCTATGGTCGTTTTACCCACACCGCGGGTACCGGTGAACAGGTAAGCATGATGCAGGCGTCCTGCATCCAGCGCATGGCGCAGAGCACGCACAACATGATCCTGTCCGATAAGGGCATCAAACCCCATCGGCCTTAGTTTTCGGGCTAACACTTCATAACTCATGGCGGGTATTCTAACAGCCACGAGTTCAGTCTTAATCAACTATATTCATCATGTGCATAATTTCCGACTTACTGGGCACAGCGGGTAGCTTTGTCATTGGTCATCGCGGTGCAGCCGGTCTTGCACCTGAAAATACGCTGCCCAGCTTTCAGCGGGCGCTGGATTGGCGCTGTCCGATGATCGAACTGGACGTACATATCGCTAACCTCACCGCAGATGCAAAGGACCTGGTTGTCATTCACGACAAAAAACTTAGTCGTACCACCAGTGGCAAAGGCCTGGTAGCTGATCATACCCTGGCCGAGCTGCGCACCCTTGATGCCGGGGACGGCGCCCTGATACCAACCCTTACCGAAGTATTTACCCTGTTACAGGCCCATGAAAAAAAATACGCGCAGACGGTTGCACTGAATATCGAATTAAAAGGTGCCGGGACGGGCGTTGAAGTAGCCGGATGGCTCACCAGGCTGCCCACCTGGCCAGTGCTGGTTTCTTCATTTAATCATGAGGAATTGAGATCATTCAGAGCATTGGATGCAAAAACCCCAGTCGCGCCTTTATTCGATAAATACAGTAAAGACTGGCACAAAATCGCGACGTCGCTGGATGCTGTGGGCATCAACCTGGGTCTCAAGCTGGCCAGCGCACAGCGGGTTGAAGAGATAAGCGAAGCCGGTTTTCCGGTCAGCGTGTACACCGTTAACGACCCGCAGGTTGCATTAACGCTAAGAGCACGCGGCGTAAAAGGTATCTTTACCGACAGGCCGGACCTGTTGATGCCGGCCTTATCTGAATAAATATCTGACTAGGCGCTTTTTTCAAGCTCCGTCAACTCACGATGCAATTGATACTTCTGATCGGTCACTATACTTTCTAAGACTTCTATCCGTTGTCGAAGCTCATCAATCTCCTCACCCAGTGCTGTGTCTGCCAGCTTGTTTTCCGCTTTATCTTTGTTTTTCAGATAGTTGTTGAAAACCCCGGCCACCGTTGTCACTACAACGATGACAACCACCATCGTAAACACATCCATCAAACTCTCCTTCTGATTGAAATATTTCTAACAAGTGCCTGAAAGGCTAAAACAGTCGCGTGATCGCACCCGAACCCTGAATCTGCTGGTGTATCCATGGCGATCCATCGTAACGCACTTCAGCTGTACCAGAGACAGTAACCTGCAACAGTTCACGCGCCCAGACGTCGACCTGCCCTGCTCCTTGTACACTGATATGGCTGGTTTCACTCTGCAGAGCGGCGCCATGGAAACGACCCAGACCAGCGATCTCTATAAGCTGATGCTGCACAATACCACTCATAAAAAATGTTGTATTACCCTGGCCAACAATAACCAGGTCATCAACAAGAATACGCTGAAGGACAAATTGCCCCTCACCCTGACTTTCCAAGGCCAGATTTTCTGATCTAATCTGATCTGCAAATACCTGGGCGCCACCCTGGCTGACCACTTCTTTCAGTTCGGTAAAGGGCAGATATATTATTAAGTCTGGCTGGCCACCCTGTAGCGCACCAACCGGCAGATCCAAGTACAAAGTCGCATCCGACTGCTCTATCTTGAGTTGCCCCACAGAGGCGGCTGATCCAGTGACATATGCACCCGGCGACCCACCTCGTTTGGCCGATCTGGTGGGGTGATTTTGCTGAAGTAAGTGCACCCGCAGCGGGCCACTTAAGTAGATTCGCTCAAAACTGTCGATCTCAAGCTGATGCCTGGACTCAGTTTGAGCACTTGCCGAACCTGGCAGGCAGAGTGCCGCAATCATGAAAGCACACACACACCTGAACCAGAATCGCGATACAGGTGGTGCACCGACGTTGGCCACCGACTTAGCTCCGCGCGCCGCTGGGTTCTTGTTCGCGCTCGATTTTGGTCAGCTCTCTATGTAGTTCGTATTGATCTGATGTGACAAACGATTCCAGCCTCCGCAGTCTCAGTTCTGCCTGGGTTAAATCTGCATTGGTATAACGCAGACTGCGGCTGGGCTGAAGCACTTCATCTCGCCTGGTATTTGCCGCGCTGGCAGTTGAGGTTTCGTCCGAGCGAGACGTTCTGGTTTTACGTCCGGCCATCATTGAGTCTTCTGTGTCAGGCTTGTCCATAATAAAATAGGCAATCCAGTAGGCTGGAAAAACGATGCCCGGTAAAAATAATAGACCCGTCAAAGCGGCCAAGCGTGTCGTCCACGTCTGCAATCCAAAATAACGAGCTATACCTGCACAGACACCTCCTATCTTGGCATTTTCAATGTCACGGTAAAGATGCCCTGAGCGTGGATTTACCCGTTCGGCACGGTCTACCAGACGATGACGCCCGCTGTTGCGACTGCGACGTCGCGCCACCCGCTCACCTGTATCTGGGTCATCGGTGGTTTTACGAAAACGCAATTCCGCTTCAAGCCGAGTAGCCGTGTCATCCAGCAAAGTCGTGGCTCTGTCAGAGAGTTGGCCGGTAGTTGTGGTCACAATTTCTGCGACGGCTTTTTCCAACCGCGCCATTGCCGCTGAAAATTCATTGCTCTGGGAAGAGCGTCGTGATGAATTGTAAGAATCCCGGTCTTTCAAAATCACTCCTAATATTTGCAGCAGGGTTAGCGTTCAATACCGTTGCGCTTACGCCAGTCGGGCGTTTCCGCATCTAAAATCGCCTCAAGGGTATCGATTCGCTCGAGCATCCTTTCAGCCTGCAGTGCTAACGTGTCCAGTTCGATACGCTCGTTTTCTGTCAGCGCACCCTGGGCATGTTGCTTACTTCGATAGTGCATCCATATCCAGGCCGGAGCCACGATCACCATAAAGATGACGGTGGGCACAAAAAAAGCGACGACTATGCCGTCCATAGTGGCTCCTATTAATTCGAGTTATCAGCTGCTGAACTGGGTGATTGAGTTTGCTGAATACGCGCCTTCAGCGCGCTCAACTGGTCATCCACACCTTCATTCTGCTCCAGATCTGAGATCTCATCAGACAGAGTTTTCTGGCCCATGTCATGTGATTCAATCTCACCTTCAAGATCATCGATCTTGCGCTCGTAGAGCTCAAATCGAGCAATCGCGTCATCGATATTGTGATCACTTAGGGTGCGGCGAACACCTAATCGGGACTGTGCCGCTTTACCACGTACAATAATTGCATTCTGGCGTGCTTTTGCGTCCTTAATTTTGGCCTGTAAAGCACCCACATCTTCGTTCAGTCGAGCCAGGGTTTCGTCAAGCACCTGAAGCTCATCAGCCATTGCGGCAACTGCTTCGCGCGCCTTGTTGCCTTCGACCAAGGCGCCTTTGGCCAGGTCGTCGCGGCCTTTGCGGACGGCTACTTCAGCCTTGCGCTCCCATTCCTCGGCTTCAGCTTCCTGCCAGTCACGTCGGCGCTCAAGCTCTTTCCGGTCGGCAATCGCCCGAGCAGAGGTGCTACGCACTTCTACCAATGCTTCTTCCATTTCTTGGATGATTAATCGAACCATCTTTTCCGGATCTTCCGCTTTATCTAACAGCGCGTTGAGATTCGAATTGATGATATCCGTCATACGGGAAAAGATACTCATCTTGGCCTTAGCCTCCACTTTTAGTTTTAGGTTAAGCACAACAATCAAAGTTGCCGATGCCATCGCTTGTGACTTACTTGTTTACAGATTCCGTGCCAAGTTTTCCCTTAAGCGTAAGCCTCTGTTTTATATATATTTTTCGACTCACGCTATTTCCCTGGCCTGTTGTTGGCGTTAACCTTATAGTTGTTCTCACCACATATTGGTCATTTTTCTTATGCGTCCCGACATAGAACGCCTTCTGGGTGAATCGCCCGCATTTCTGCGCACGCTGGAACACGTTTCATTGGTTGCGCCATTAGAAAAACCCGTCCTGATTGTAGGAGAACGCGGTACCGGCAAAGAACTCATCGCCTCAAGATTGCACTTTCTATCCAATCGATGGGAGAGTCAGTTCATCAAGATGAACTGTGCGGCAATCTCAGAAAGCCTGCTTGAGACTGAACTGTTTGGCCACGACGCAGGCGCATTTACAGGCGCTACCAAAACTCACCACGGTCGTTTCGAACGCGCCCATGGTGGCACCCTGTTTCTGGATGAATTGGCCACAACAAGCATGCTGGTGCAGGAAAAGCTGTTACGGGTTATTGAATATGGTGAGTTCGAACGTGTCGGTGGTAGTAAGACCCTGAACTGCGATGTGAGGATTATTGCTGCCACCAATGAAGACCTCCCGACGCTAGCAGGCAAAGGAGAGTTTCGCCCTGACCTGCTCGATCGACTTGCTTTCGATGTGTTGACTCTTCCTCCGCTACGTCAGCGAGAAGAAGATATTCTTCTGCTTGCCAATCATTTTGCTGTCAGTATGGCCAAAGAACTCGGTCGCGAGCTGTTTGCAGGATTCAATCTCGCCGCCCAGCGCGATCTGCTGGACTATCCGTGGCCGGGCAATGTACGGGAATTGAAGAACGTTGTAGAGCGATGCGTCTACCGCACGGATCCTGACAGCGAAGTCGAAGAAGTTGTTTTTGATCCATTTTCCTCGCCTTACAGACCTGCAGATCGTTCATCTGCTGCGCCCCAGAATGACACCACAGGCCGCCAGGATGAGGTAGGATTTCCAGTCGAATTTAAGCAGCACATTGCTGAGTACGAAATTTCTCTGCTTGAGCAGGCGATGCAGGAGGCTAAACATAACCAGCGGAAAGCGGCTGATCTGCTGGGTTTAACGTACCACCAGTTCCGCGGTTATCTGAAAAAGTACAATCTGGTGGGCAGTAACAACGATCTGGCAGGCGACTAAGACGCTACCCTGGCTTTGCGCTGTGGCTACGCTGGATCAGCGCCCACTGGTGGGCGCGAGTATCCAGAGTTTGGCGGAGAGAGAGGGATTCGAACC